CCGGCGTATATGCTGTATAGGAAATATGCAAATCGGAGACAAAATGTCGATAGTTATAGCTATTGTCGCTTCAATGTATTTATTTATAAATACAAGAATATACAAACACTGTGACTTGTAAATTATTCCTGCGTAACATTCAATATCATACCATGACAGTTTCATTATTACTTAATTTCAGTACAAATTTGAATTAGGGGTACACTTCTCAATGAAAGCTCATAGTCATCCCCGAGTCGTGTTCGATGCTGGCGACGGACATTACGTACATTCGTCTAGAAAATAACACTCAATGTATAATTTATACAATCTACTGAGAGTGAACATCCAATGTGGTAACACGGTGGAATAATGTTTGTTTCATTGTCATCGCATTATTATTTACATATACATATGGACAAAAATGGACGTTGTTTGATGTAGCACATTAAGGGCAAAATTAGTGTGTGTGTGTGTGTGATTAACACTGGGCTGAAATATTTCCCTTGTACCACGCTTCGCAGTAATCCTTCGATGAAACAATTACATTCTGCAATGCTCATATGCAGAGATTATTGTACGTACCAAAATAAACAGTGCACATGCGCATTAGAAAATACTTAGTTGTGTCATGGAGCTAGAAAGGGACTTTTTACCTCCATGGTTGTGTAATGCACGTTGAGTTCGGATTCATAATAAATCATGTAATCTAATGTATTCATTCAAGAGCTCACATGTTTGGGACAGTATTATGAACACTTGGCTTATTTGTAAATATATTCTCTGTGTTATGTATCGCGACTATGCAAGGATTTGAGCCCGGATAATGACGTGACGTGTGGCTTGCTAGCATTGGCTGATGACGTGTTAGAAATGAAACAGATGCGGAAGATGTATTTCAGTTGGCATTCCGACGATGGGATTGGTTAGTAATAAAACTTGACTATGTCATATGTGAGGAACCGCTGGTAAGCGTTTTTAGGGGGAGGTCACCCAGAATCATAGTGTAATATTAGCCTGCCACTCGTAAAAAATCCATGAAATACAACAATATGACACACATCCCCTATACCCTGGCCTACGTTTGAGCTATATTATCTTAGTTGTTATAACTAGAAAGTGTCCTATTAACAAAAACAATTGAGGGTCTATGATCAGGATCAACGTCCATCGACGTTAGAAAACACTGTTTTCTAAAGGTGTTGAGGGAGCGTGGCAGAAACTTCCTGTGTTTTGACAAACGGTCACCGTAATACTTATCAAGGTCAAATGTCTATAACTGATCGTGATTGGCTTAGCCAATAAACTGATTGTATATTTCAACAATACTTGTTGTTGTGTGTGATTTATCAGTGCGTGTGTTCATTCAGATTTGGACAGTTTCCTTCAAACGTAAACATAAAATGCCATCATCCATTTCGATTCATAACCAAGTCTGCAGCCCATAGTAACTGTGTAAGTGTTGATATATATACATATATATATATATATATATATATATATATATATATATATCGTCAGTACAACAATGGTTCACATATACCATTAAATTGCTCTGAGCCATGGACCAGAGCGACGAGTATCTAGCAACGCATTTTCAGGAACGTCTCAATCAATCGATAGAAGCTCACAGAATGTTTGTTTCGAGATAGAACTTCGCTTACCTCGTTGTGTCCGAGCATACGAAAAGAATAGCATAAGCAGCCAATAGGTCAAATGTGAGGTAGACACCGCCATTTTGAATTAACAGCAAACTTTGTCTTCTGTACTGTACGACTGCTTATCTCGTTGTCTTTAACTGCAAATTGTTTGTATAATGATATGCAGTGACGTTGCAAACAGCGTGTGTGCTATCTATATCGAAATCGATAAACAACTGACCTATATACTATTGTATGTCAAAAATGTTGCTCCTATACTGTAAAATACTTTTTTTTTAGCTGGCATTATTTTTCATTGAAAAGATATTTTGGGTGTTTTGTGTGGAATTTATTTTCATTGATTTTTGAAAAGTTGAATGTAAAATCACAGTCCCTCTATCTATGATATCTATGATAGAGGGAATGTGGTAAAATATAGAACTATTCGCTGGGTTTCATTCGCTAGTATCGTTCCTTCAGCGAAAATAGCAAAAATAAATTCCAAGCAAAACTAAAGTGTTTTACAGTATTAGGGAAAACACGTGCGATTTCGCGGACATTATTTTCAGATACTAAGACAACAAATCGATTATTTTTTTAAGGATGTAGTAGATGTTATTGCTACTGCAATTGAATACCACATTTCTGAAGTAACATATTCTTTGAATCCCATCAAATTATATATTTTAAGAAAGTTTATTTTTTTCAAATAATATGAAATAAATATTCCAACAAAAAAATGGAACCGTGTAATCACGTGATCACTGTGCAAACAGAGAGGTGTTTTTTTCGAAGAAACCGGAATAAGGCCGCAGAAATCATGTTTGTGATACTATAAAAAGTTTGAATTCAATTTCCCAGTTCGTCTACTATTGCGTGACCTAGATGTTGACCTCATAACACTTTTTAAAAACATCGTCAATGTTGTTTTAAAATATGATACCCCGCGTCAGAGTTCACAAAGGGGCGAGTTGTGTCGTATTTTCTAAAGTCAAAGTGGTAGACAAACTGTCTTTGTCAGATTTCATTAGCAGCTACCAGAGAATACTTATTCTCTAAGACAGACCGGAAACGGAAACGAGACAAAAACAGAAGATTTTTCAAGTTAGCGTGGGAGAAATAACGTTGCTAAGTATTATCGTCAGGGAAAGCTATTGTTTAAGCTAGTCTGTGATTGGTTGCTGGCAATGTTTAGGGGATTTTGACCAGTTTGTGACGTAGGCTTGTCTTTGAGAATGCCAAATTCATCGTCGTGGAGCAGCTGGGAATCGAGATCAACTCTGTAGTCTAACCCACAGTCACTTGGGGGCTGAAAATCAATAAATACTAATTTTCAATAAAAATCATCCGCTATACGTATATAAATAAACAAGTTGTGAAACACGGCACCGAGTAAATCGACACCCTGTCGGTTTCAAATGTCGATTTCTTACCTTAAAATGCGAAACAAAATTTTTAGAGGGG